AAGATAGATATGCAAGAAGCTTGGATGGAGAGGCAATACACATTGTTTACTGATTTACGTAGGGAACAACCTAGGAAAGTTCCCAACGTGAGGAGGCAAGGTAATGGAGCCTAGAGTAAAGATTGGTGGTGAAAATGAAGCGGGTAGTGGAATTGATGATGATGCATTAGTGGAGGCCAAAATATGAAGGATGAGGAATGGAGAAGATATACATGATAAAATGGTTAGAGATTATGTTGGAGATGAAGTTAATTGAAATATGGACAATATTAAAATGACAATTCCTTCATTCAAAGGAAGGAGCAATCCGGAGGCATTTTGGAGTGGGAGAAAAAGATAGAGCTTATATTTGATTGCCATAACTATTTGGAGAAAAAAAGATAAAATTTGTTGTTGCTGAGTTTACTGATTATGCTCTCATTTGGTGGGATCAAATAGCAACATCTAGGAGAAATCATGAGAGGCCTATTGAAACATGGGGAGAATTGAAGGCTGTCATGAGAAAGATGTTCGTTCCCAATCATTACTATAGGGATCTTTATCAAAAATTACAAAACCTTTATCAAGGATCTAGGAGTGTGGAAGATTATCACAAGAAGATGGAGGTTGCCATGATTAGAGCGAATGTTGAGGAGGATCGTAAGGTGACCATGGCTTGATTTGAATGGTTTGAATATGGAGATAACTAATGTGATAAAACTACAAGATTATGTAGAGTTGGAAAACTTGCTACATGTAGCTATGAAGGTGGAGATGCAGTTGAAGATAAGGAGGGCAGCTATATATCCATTTAGGTTCTAACTCTTCTTGAAAATCGAAATGAGATGATAATAGAGGTGATGAGGCTATTTCCAATAGTAAGATCGAACCACCAATGGAAAAGGAGGAAGTTGCTAGCAAAATTAAAACCAAAACTGATTCCCAACCTTCTAAGAAACAGGATATCAAATGCATTCCGCTAAGAGGTGAGTTACTTGTGGTGATGCGTGCTCTCAATACACAAATTAAATTGGATGATGTGGAGTAGCAATGGGAAAACATCTTTCACACTAGATGTTATGTCAAAAATAAGGTATGTAGTTTGATTATTGATTGGGTAGTTGTACTAAAATTGCTAGTACTATACTTGTTGAAATTATGATTGACTACAATAAAACATCATAATCCTTATGAATGTGGAGAGGCTAGGGTGTGTACGCAAGTTTTGGTGAATTTCTCATTTCGGAGGTATAGTCATGAAGTGACGTGTGATGTAGTTCCTATGCATGTTGGACACATTTTATTGGGAAAGTCATGACAGTATGATAAGAAGGTGAAACATGATGAATTCAAGAATATGTACAACTTTGTAAAAGATGGGAGATTTGTTATTCTTATACTATTAACCCCACAACAGGTCTATGAGGACCATTTGAGATTGAAAGGTGAGGTAGAAAAGAAAAAAACAAAGAAAGGCTAAAGGAAATTAGGAGAAAAGATAGTGATATGGCTAATTGTGAGAAAAAAAGAGTAGAGCCACAAGAGAGAAAATAAGAGAGTCTATTGAGAGAAGAGAAAAATCAAAAGTGACTTTTTCTGCAAAAAATAGTGAGATTGAGAGAGCTTTAGTGAGAATTAACAAATCCCTCCCCAATTTGGATATTTCTTTATTGCAGGAACTCAAAGACTATTTTCACGAATACTTATTTAGTGGGATACCACCCGTTGAGTATCCAATTGATTCGATGTAAGTGAAGAATTTGATAAGCATTGATGGAGAATCATTCAATTATGGTATGATAAAGAATCAATACCTCATACATAGGTTAGATGATGCACTAGCATGTAGTAATATTTTTTTCACATGTTGTAGTACTTTTACACATATTAATGCATCTAATATTTCTATGAGAGTAATAAGTCATTTGTTACATACATTCATAGGCAATCAATTACTAATTAATGATATGCTAGTATGTTGCAAGAAATTAATTGAGCAAGATAGATAATTGGTGTGCATTGTTAGTGATTTGAGGCATGATGATCAATAATTCAATCTTGAAGTCCTTAACGATTTTCGTTCGAGTTTATGGAGTATGTTGGGAACCAATTTAGTATCCTTTGCTACTTCTACTACACGTTTTGATATGGTTTACGATTTAAATCCGTTAACTTTGTTTGATTTAATTAATTTAACTATTGTTATAAATGATAGTTTAGATGGAAAGTAAGTGATTATATTATATGTATCTCAAGGTAGCAAAGGGAAGAGGCGTAAATTATTCGAACCGGGTGATTGGGTTTGGTTGTCTAGGCAAAAATGACTTATTCGAATGCAAGGAAGGTCAGATTTCATCCTAGAGGAGATGGACAATTCCACGTCATTGCAAGGATTGAAAATAATGGTGACAATTTGGATCTTCAAGGTAAGCTTGTGATAATTTGCATTTTCATTGTTTCTTATTTTGCTCTCTTTGATGTAGTTACAGATTTGAGGTCGAATCATTCCGAAGAGGGAGTGAATCTATTTGATCTAAGGAAGGAAACAAGCTATCAAGGGTTCGATGTATGTTGATGAGATACTAAGGGTAAGTTCGAGATCAAATAAAGTTGATGAATCAATGCAATCACTTGTTCAAGCTACGTAGTCCAAGAGGGTGAAGTTAACAAGCCAAAGACCAAGTTCTACGTTAGGCATGAAAGCAAGAAATAAGTTGGAATGCTTTTGAATCAAGAACTCAAACTTGAAGGCAAGACAGACTGCTATGCGATATCATAGCACAAACCTGAGTGTGGTCACATGCCTCCATACTGAACCAAAGCTGAAAGCCATCAATTGGCCTATGAGACCACATGCATGGAGCCTATGTGACAGCATAGTACATTTGTGGATGCGTTTTTTTTCCAAATTTTCGCACTTCTATTTTAGTTAAAACTCTTTTATGGTATCTTTTTGATATCTCTTAAGGCTTAATTCCGTTTTTAATTAGGTTTTAGGGATTTCATATAAATATTATCATTCTTTTCATTTTAAAAATACACAAGTTGAGAAATATCATTGTAAGACATATTGCTCTCAATTCGTTCTTTATTGAATTATTTCCGAACTTATCAAAAATTAAATTCTTGTGGTGTTCAACAATTTAAGTAAAGTTCATAAGTTTTGTGATAACGGAATTAAGATATTGTTGACGATTGTCTTGGTTATTTGATTCAATAATTTATTGGGTCAAGTTTTCAAAAGTTAGTTTTTGGCTTTCTTAGATTTGATTTAATATGTTCTGGGTTTCCTAGCTTCAATTGTTATGTGGGTTTGCATCACTTTATGTTTTTTTAGTCTTATTTAGCACTTATTTGGGCTCCATTTTTTAGAAGATGTATTGTTCTCTATTTTATTTTCAATCACACATTCTCCAAAAAATAATATTATACATTAGTCAAAATTTGCTCTTATTTTTTAATCACACATTCTCAAAAAAATCACTATTCCAAAATACATTTTTCTCAAATTCTCATTAAAATGGAGCCCAAACAGAGGCTTAGTAATGTTGATTTAAATTCACATATAAAATGTGCCTCCATTATCCCAATAATCATTTGAGCCGGAAGACAAGTTCAAGACTTATATGTTAAAGTGAATAGGATTCTACACGATTCAAAATTTAGAAAATACATCAAGAATATTTGTTCTTTATACTAATCAATTCAACGTACGAAAGATACAATATATAAGCGTCCAAGTCACGACCAATCTAATTAAGAGTCTGTTTGACTACCAATATAGGTAGAACAATGGAGTAAGGAATAGTATTTTTTGGAGAATGTGTGGTTGAAATTTAAAGTAACTTTACTACCATTATTGGTAGAACAATGGAGTAAGGAATAGTATTTTTTGGAGAATGTGTGGTTGAAATTTAAAGTAACTTTATTGGTTTGTGTGTAAAATATTTTATTGAGTGAATATGTGGTTGAGATTGTTTACTGTAGAAAACAATGTTTGTAAAAATGGTAGACAAACAGGGGCTAAAAATGGTTAGGCACGCTCAATATCTACTTCTAAAGCTAATTTTATTAGTTATCTGAGGTTAAATAGACTTGATGTCACAGTGCATTTATTTCTAAATTATATGAATTTATTAGTCAGCTAAGAGCTGTTAACATGGGGTTTAATGTCATCCTCAATTCACACTCCTCAATAACTATATAGTAATTGAAAAAAAAATAATAATAATAATAATTACATGGAACCTACCATTTTGTTCATTAGTAATATATTATTATATGAATAAGGAAACGTTCGAATTTCATAGCCTTAATTTAAGCATATTTACTATAAGTGAAACAAAAGTATTTTTTTATTATTATGGGAGAAACCTTCGATTTCTTTTTATATTGTTTTCTTTAAGAAATGTAATTATTACAATGTATTTTTTGAAAAACATTGAAACATTCTTTGAATTCTTCAATAGTTGCAATAACAATAAAAGACTCAAAATACTTTTTCTCATATAATATTTCATGAAAATGGCATAGATCCATGAGACTAGAGGATAATAATAAATAAAAACCATGGTAAAAATTTGACTTATATATATATATATATGAATTAGCAAAAACCTTGATCAATTTTCGTTCTGATTCTCAAATTTTTTCGTTTGAATTGTTAATTATGACAAGACCGCGTGATATTTATTTATTTTGACGAGTAGTTCAGTTTCCTACCTGTTAATGCTGAGCTGTTTTGAACATAAAACGAGCTTCTGAATAATCATTTTTACCAAACGTGCCAAAAGAATTACAGATAATGACATACAAGTGAGAGTTATGACCACCCATAAATCTCTCCTCTTCCTTTCCTACTGTTCTTATCAAATAAGAAGCTCATAAGTTATTAACCCTTCCAAATCTCATCCCTTGGACGGTTCTTACATCCATGGCTGTAGTGGCGTGAAGCAGAATAAAAGGCTTACTACAACCTAACTTCTGAATTTTCTCCTCTTTTATTTTCTTGAAAACCCTAAATGGAAATTGGAGGAAAAGGTTCCGTGTATGGGAATTTAGAAAATAATTCTTCCTTGTTCCAACCAAAACCTCCATTAATGGCCATAGACAAGTCCTTGTCATCCCAAAACAATTTTTATTACCAGCAAAGCTTAAACTCTTTGCAAAACCAGTCACCCTTTTTTCCTCCAAATCTGTTTTCTGGTTTTTCTTCATGTTTTTTCAGCAAATAAGCCTCCAGAAACAAGCTTTAGGAATGGGATCCTCCCCTATGCACAGGTGGCCTGGAACCAAGATGAACATGTTAATGGAAATCCAAATGAAGTGAAATTGGCAAGTGAAAGTTTTGATCCGAGAGAGAGGAGAGAAAAAGGCCAATCTCATGGTTATTTGATAAAGGGTCAGTGGACAAAGGAAGAAGACAGGTTCTCGTTTTCCTGGATAACTTTCATTTTTTTGTTTTAGATCAAAGAGTTTTTATTCATTAACTTGATCTGTTATTGCTATAAAAAGAATGATATTTTCTGATCTTTTATTCTAATTTGATTTGATGCTTGCCATGCAGGAAATTGATTAAGTTGGTAATGCAATATGGTTCAAGAAATTGGGCTGTGATAGCTGAGAAATTGGAAGGGAGAGCAGGAAAACAGTGTCGTGAGAGATGGCTTAATCATCTGCGTCCTGATATCAAGGTTTTACAATCAATCTCAATCTCCCTTTCATCTCCATTTTCTCTGTTCTACGTAAGATCTCTTTTCTGATCTTCGGATCTTGCGCCAAATTTTATGAATGACTTTGCATCTCACAAGAAAGTGTCAGCAGCCACCAGCTGTATTTGGAGATTTTATTGTTTTGGGACTAAAAACCCACATTTCGTAGTGATTTAGGGATATTTATGGACTTAGATTTTCTGCATATCCTAAGAACTTTTCCCTAGATTTTTGACATCGTGATTCTAGATATGAAAAACTGTAATTTTTTTTTTATTTTTTAGGTTCATCTAATCATCTTTTAATCTATTTAAGCCCTTATTTTGTTTTGGGTGAAAATATTCTATTTGTTGATTGATGATTCATTGAGATAATAGCTTAGGTGTAATTGTTTGAAGGCTTGCAGCATAAAAATCTTAAATTAAAAAAAAAAAATCTTCAAAGTATTTCTAGGGTTTTTTTTTTTTGCACAGTAAATAGCTTTACACAACGCAACAAACTAGATTTATTATTATTTTTTTCTTATGTTGTTGAATCCGGTTTACATATATTTATTTATTGAATTTATTTAATCTCAATTTAACCAAAAATTTAAAACTTATTTTTTCAATTCAATTCTATGATGATGTTATGTAATTAAATGATATTTTTTGTTGAGAAAATCATTTCAGAAAGACGTTTGGAGTGAAGAGGAAGAGAGGCTGTTAATCAAAGTCCACAAAAGGGTTGGAAACAAATGGGCAGAGATTGCCAAACACATCACTGGAAGAACTGAAAATTCAATAAAGAATCACTGGAATGCGACGAAAAGAAGACAGATTTCAAGGAGAAAAATCAAGAAACCAAGAGGGGTAAATGGAAAACGACAATCAACCCTGTTACAAGATTACATCCAGAACAAGTATATGAACAATGGTTCTGGCTTCACACCCACCTCAACCAACTCAGATGCGGCCGCCACCACCATTACTCCTCCGAGCTCCACCGTGCCTGAGGCCGAGGGCCAGTCTGTTTTTACTTTCGAAACATGTGAGGAGGAAATAAACTTCATGAAAAACCTATTTGGAAACAATGATTCATCCAGCAATGCTTCAATGGTGCAAAGCCATGCTGCATCAGAAACAAACATGAAGATTAATCAAGATGCATTTCTTTATCCTGATTTGTTCGATTTAGCCATTGGCTTAACTTGGAACCTGCCAATGAATCAATTTTCCTCCTTTGCAGGCAGAATGGATGGGGATTTAATGGGAATGGTTTCATCTTGCCAGCTCTCCCTTCCAAGGGTTGATCAATAATTGCATTACTATGTAATTCTTGTCCTTATGTTTTAAACAGACAAACTTATTTTGGTTTCTTTATTGATAGTTTGATTGTCTGTTTGATTAGTGTAATGAAGAAAATAATTAGCTAAAATATTTTCTAGTATGTCTCATATAATATTATGAATCAAACATCAATTCTCTTAGACAATGGTTAATTAATAATGGCTTTATAATTATCTACTTCTTGTCCTTTTGCTTATGATTTCCTTAGAACTAATATTTTGTTCTTTCTTGATGGCTTGATGGGTTGTTTATTCATTACACTGTCATTTAGAATGGATGGAAACTTTTAAGACATTAATAAAGTTCTTTATGGAAGTTTTAGGAAACTTTTGACAAAAATATTTGAAAGCTTGGATTAAGAACTGTGCATTATAATGGACTTTTGTGGGCTTTCAACTCAGAAGTAACTTAGTTACGAGCTCCAACAAATAATTTACAATAATCCATATTATAATTTCTAACTACAATAAAACTAACATGTGGCCTTAAAAAAATAAAATTGACTTGTAATTAGAGTTTATATAAATATTTATTATAATTTTTCAACGTTGTTATGGTGTTTCGTGTCTTATTTTCTCAAAAATAGCATTATCAATTGTATTTTAGTATCACACTTTTACTCCCGTTTCCGTTTCTATGCAACTTAGACCTTAATAAGTTCATAGCATTGAGTAATGCTAATCATCATTAGTGTGATCATCCTGTTTAAGTGGCGTGGGTCTCATGATTTATTGTTCAATGAAGTTGTGATGTATTTTAATGCACTGGACAAGAAATGGAGCTCACTGCCACCTCGATTCACACTAATGATGAATGGCATTGTTTCAAAAAATCTACAAGATACAAACAATCTATGTGTTTTCTTGGTCTTGAATTAATATAGTTGTTCTTACGACACAAACCCAGCTGGAGCAGCTGGAGCTGAAAGTCGTGCAGCAATCAAACATGCCAGCACCTGATAGCCAGCTGGAAGAATCAATTAGTTAGCTAACTAATTGTTAGTTTGATAGTTGAGAATTATTCCTTTCTTCTGTTAGTGAGGTTATTAGTTAGGGAGTTTGTTAGTTCACAATTCTATAAATACATTGCTGTATTTCACGATTAAACAAGTTGAAATAATAGAAAGTTTCATCTTCCTTCTTCTTCTTTTTGATTAATGCAGCAAAGACTGCCAAAATGTGTTAAATACATGGTATTAGAGCGAAAATGATGCTTCCGCTTCAGCTCCTGAATCGATTAATTCATGAACCTCCTATTTCAGTTCCTACATCAGAATTTGCAGCAAGTACAGAGATCTGTATTTCGGACGTCTGCAAGGTATTTGATAAAAGTTCCCAATGGCGATATGGAGTTGCACTGGTGGTTTTCTTCCAGTCATTGCTGGAGTTTATTTTAGCATTTCCATTTCTTATTTCATTCATCAATGGTGATGAAGTTTTTCAGCAAATCCCCGGCAGAGCCATGGATGCTCCTTTTGTT